GCAGTCCTCCCTTTGTCCTCACACAATTCTTTGCTGAGCACTTATTAAAAATATCTTCAGATTTAATCTGTTTTCTGATTATTTTTGTGTAAACATTTAAAAAAAAAAAAAAAAAGAGGAAAATAGAAAAAAATTGAGCTGTGACTAATTTTAGCCGTTTAAATAATGCTAAAGTGTTACTGATGAGTCTGTTGGTTGGTTGGTTGGATTCAGAGTATTAGTACTGTAGCATAAACCAAATACAGCCCAGTGGGGCGAGCGCTCGTGGGGCTGCGGGCGCCGGCGTCACGCGAGCGTGTGTTTATTTGTGCCATTGCTTTTGTTACACTGAGCAGAGCGAGTTTCAAACCCTTCTGTAGGTGTAGCGTTGGAGAGCGGCTCTAAGGGTGAGATGGTGACCTCCTTCTTGTAGTGGTGAGGGTACTGATTCAGGTTAGGGCTGCTTTCACTGCTCTGTTCTCCTGGTGGTGCCCCGTGTCCCTTCCCGCCTGGTTCCTTGCAGGGTTTCTCATTGATGTGAGCGGTGTGCAAGCTGTGGGTATCTGTGCCCACTGGAGCTTGGTGATCCCCCACGTCTCCAGCAGGTCCTGCAGGTGTCTGTTGAGCAAAGTCTTGGTCACGTGCCCCGAAATGGTCCCCAAACTTGGTGGCGGTGGCTCGGGCAGGGCTCACAGCTGCTCCTCCAGCAGCAGCACGAGGACCCGCAGCCCCTCCGCACTCCGTTTTCCTGCCTGTTTGCTGGGTCGGCGGCGCTGTGGTGTTGAGGTTCGGTTGGGTCGGTTGCTCTAAACCCTCCTCCGTTATCTGTGAAATCCCAAATCTTCACTTTCTGGGATCTGTGTGATGGTGTGCTCAGCTCCAGCACGTGGTTTGTTGCTCACCTTTTGTCCCGTCAGCCCTGCTGTTTGCCTTTCCCAGCTGCTGTGAGCTTTGAAATGCAGCAGAAACCAATTCCTGCTGGATCCCAGCCGTGCTGCTCTGTGATGGCCAAACGGGGAGCAGCGGCGGGCTCAGCCAAGGCAGGAATTGCTTCCTGCTTGGGAAAAAAAGAAGTTATCTTCCTAATTAAGTCTAACGTGTGCTTTTCACCTTGAGGAGAGCATCACCTCGGCACGTAGCACCCATGGAGCTGCTTGGAGCACTGATGCTCGTAGCTGGGAGCTTTCCTGCGTGTGATTTTGCTCTCGATTTGGTGTTTTCAGCACCTTGCTGTGCAGCACTGTCCTGGAGATCTGTGTGCCCACAGCCGTTCGTTTCTGTATAGAGGCTGCTTACGAGGAAGGTGACTGAGGTCAGGAGGGGAGAGAACGAGGCTGAACCCAACGTAAAGCTGCTACAAAACTTCACGCGGAGGAGTGAGGCTGGGGAAGGAGCCCAGCAGCTTCGGCCAGTGCGAGAACAAGGTTTCTGCCTTTGCACCTGCAAAACACAGCGCAGAGAAGCGAGGGGAAGGGAGCAGAAGAGCCCGATGTGCTCCGTCATCCAGAGATGCCAGAGCTTTAGGAATTTGCACAATAGGTGTCGCACACAGGGTAAGGCCATGGGACCTCCTGCTCGGGGGCTGCTGAGCTGTATCGATCTCGACTGTTAATCGGAAAGCTTCGTGTCGCCTGTCCAGAGCTCTAAAGCCATTTTGTAAGATAGCGGGATCCCTTTTCTTACAGCCTTAGTAACGAGTTATCTTAAAAAAAAAAAAAAAAATTAAAAAAAAAAAAAAAACCAGGAAAAAAAACACGAGTTCATTTCTTTTCTGTGGTATGAAACTTGTGTACTGCGAATACGTGAGCGTGGAGCAGCAGTACCAGTGCTGTTTTCTTAAGAGAAACGACAAGAAACTGCTTTCCAGACGGTCTTTCCTCAGGTGCTAAATAAGGGTTCCAAAAATGGATACTGCTTTAGGAGTTTGGGCTTTATTCTTAAAATCCGTATTTTTTTGCTTAGGTGTCGTTAAGGTATTTTAACAAGAATGTTGTTGTTGTTCTTTTTAATGTAAATAAGATGACGCGTCTTTGATTTTCGGTTGATCTCCTCGTTGTCTGTATGGAATAGTCTGATTTTCACCTTATCCTTTTGAGAAGGACCCTCCTCCCACCCCCCTCGAAGACATTTCATTCAGTGTTGCTGCATTTGAGAGCGAGTCTCCAGCCGCTCACGGATTAATGCTGCTGCTGCTATTCGTAACCCTGAAAATCCAGACTGTGTGATGCACTTTTGTCCCCCGAGTTCCCCGAGGAGAGCCGACCCGGCCCGTAACGCAGCCCCCCACGGCCCGACCCTGGTGCTGACCCATGGGGATTTCTATGCAAACGCAAAGCAAAGGAGAGCTCTGACCTTGGAAGAACACTGTGCGTTTCTCTCTCTCTCCTTCCTCTTCTCAAGCTGCTATTGGAAGGGTTGCGCCGTCCCAGCTCCTCCTTCCTGCCTGCTGGCGATGTGGGGATGATGGCCGAGCGTTCGGAAGGCCTGAAATCGCAATGAGCTCGTGGCTCGTTGCCACTGGGAGTATTTTGTTTTCTATTTGCATACATCTTTGGAAGGAAATCGCTCATCTCTGGAAAAAAAAAATAATAATATATGTATATATATATGTTTTTAATGCTTTATTCCAATGTGAAGTTGACCAGAAGCAAAGCAGTGATGTTCAGACCACACAGCCTCCTGCCCCAGGGAGGGGCCATGGCACTTCGGGCAGGGAGAGCTTGATGCTGTGGAGATCCTACAGGAGCCCTGGTGTAAGGGAAGAGTCAGGAGGGTCCGAAGGAGCGCAGGAATAACGCTGTGGGATTACAGATACCGGAATTCCCCTCCGTCGGCGCCGTCTTTTGCCCAGCGTTTGCTCTCTTGCACACCCAGCTGTGTGCACATCCCAAACGTGCCTTGTGTGTGTGCTCAGCCACGGCGGGGGGCTGCAGTGGAGGCTGTCCTCCCAAACGTGACCTGTTGGTGCGGCTTCTGAGGGGGCCGGGGCAGGAGGAAGAGGATCTGCTTTGCTGTTCCGCAGACAGAAATGAGCAGAGGTCCAAAACCAGCCCTTCTTTGGGGTCGAGGTTCTCTGATCCCCACGGCGCGGGCTTTTGCTCCCTTCCACATTGTGGTTCACGTTACTGTGGGCTTTTTTTTGCCCTTTTTTATTTTTTTTTCTTAAAGGAAAAGTAAATGCGCCGTGCGTTGCCCAAGCAGAGCTGTGGAGCGTGCAGTCAGCGACTTGGGACGTGAAGCTGTGCAATTCCTGTTCCTTCATCTCTCTCCTCACCCTCCCATGTGCTCTCCCTCAGTCTCTCTGTCCTTCTGCCACTGTCAATGTGAAAGCTTGCTTGCGTTATTTTTTAGAAATGCATTTTGCACACTCGGGTTTCGCTGAAGCTCCATGAAAAGGTTCGTTTGAAGCAGATGAATAAAGCTATGCACATGTTTTGAAAGTTTAATTTGTGTCTCATTACCAGAAGTGACTTATCTGCCCTCTTTGCATTCCCATGCTGTCGTTGCCTGCGTTATCTTCCTACCACGGAGGGCATGATGCGAGGTGACAGCTCTTTGCTGACAGCGTAGCAGAAAACTGGCGCTTCTTGAGTTCAGTAGCCTGTCTCTCTTTGCTTTCTCTGTCTCTCTCTCTGTATATCTATAGAAATATATATTATTTTTTTATTTTAGAGAACCTACTTTAGTAATTGGAGGGAGAGGGGCGAGCTGGCTTGCTGGGCGTGCTCCGGGCCAACCTGTGCTCCATGTCTCCGCACGGCGCCCTCGCGCCAGAGGAGGGCATGGAGCAGCGTGGGCTGCTGGCACGTGGCAGCCCTCTGCCCTGGCACACGCAGGGTGCTGTGCCCGCAGGGAGGGCTGTGTGCGTGCAGTGGGGGGCTGAGAGCTGCTCTTGGTTTTGTTCTCGTGAGTGACGTGTGTTGGGCTGCAGGTGCCAGCTCTGCAGGCGTGTTGCTGAGCCCCGTGTGGGGAAGGCTGGAGTTGGGAGGAGGACGCCGGCACCTTTCTCCTTACATTCCCTTCGCCATGGCAGAAACCTGTACTAACTTGATGGCTTTTTTCATACCAAACAGGGCTGCTTTTCTATCTACCATCACACGTGTACTTACACACCTTCGGCAGCTTGCACGTTTCCGAAGGGCCTCGACTTGTTTACTGGGGGGACAGATGCCCCTCTCCCCCCCCCTCCCCAAATACTTCAGTGTTAGCAGCAGTGTAGAGAGCTGTGGAATGGAGCAGGGTCTGGCTCGGCCCCTCCTGCCCTGCCCGTAGCTCTCACATATTTCAGTTCCCCGTGTTAAAACCAGGAGGGGCTGTGCTTTACCTGCTCGGGGGCTGAGTTACCTCTGACCCCGGAGAGGGGCAGCCCCTCTTTGTTGTCCACGTCCAAACAGTCAAGGTCGGTTTTGTTCTCTTCTCCCCTTCCCGGTCTGTTTGAATGGGTTCACGCACTCGTTGTGCCCAGCTGGAACGGGATCATTTTCCCAATGGTGAGAGGGCAGCAGTAGGAGTGAGTGTGCGACCTGCTGAGCTGCGCCTGGGGCCGGTGGTGTCACGGACTGTAAGGATAGGGAACGTCCACGAGCTGTAATGGCATGATGTATCTTTACCAATGATGTCATACTTCACACTAAATGTTTTAAAAAATAATTAAAAGGAAAAAAAAAAAAAAAAAAAGTTACCTGAATTTTGTTTATTCTGCACCAACAGGTCTTCAAAATTTATCCAAATTTTATTATTTTATCAGGAAAAAAAAAAGGAAAAAAATCGTGTAGATGGAATACGTTAAGATGGACAATAAGTGATGTAAATCGTTGAATAAAAAATTTAAAGTTTATGGTTGTCAGCGTGTCTCTTTTTGCTGTCTGAGGGAGCATCCCCTGGCCCTGGGTCACAGGGAACACACAGTGCTTGTGGCCATGGGGCTGCGAGTGCAGGGCATGGGGCAGGATGGCATGTGTGACCTCAACGCGCAATAGGAAACACCCATCAGGCCGCTTTATCTTTTTCTTTCAGTCACATTTATTTATTGGCAGTTTGTGGCAGCTGGTACCGTTTAGGAGTGTTGTTCCATCAAGCGGTTGCAGTACAAGAAGGGGTTGTTATTTCAGGAGGGGATTATTAGCACCAAAAGGGAGCCGGTGAGCTTTAGAAACCTTGCAAAGATGTGCTCAGAAGTGGGGCCGGGCGCCAGGCAGCTACTGCTGGATGCGCCTGATGGACTGGATCTGGGAGGTCTGGGCGTGTGAGCCCCACTCTCTCCAGTGCTTGTAGTCTCCCCCGTGGTGGTCGGCCTCCAGGACGTACTGGTAGCCACGGTACCCGGGGTACTGGTAGCAAACCCAGCTGCAAGAAACGGAGTTGTCAGGCAGCAGTAAGGGAATGAGAGAGGAACGGGGCCGCGTGCTGACGGCCTGGGCTCGTCCCCGCTGCTCAGCCCCGGCCCTGCGCCCTTCACTTACGCGCCGCAGGGGATCTTCATGGAGCCCACTTCGTTGTTGGCCCAGCCCATGGCCTGCAGCGAGGGGTAGTCGTCGCTGATCTCCCACTGGCGGCCGATGAAGTTGTCTTTCTCGTAGACGGTGATCTTGGATTCCTTGTGATTCTGGGCCGGAAGAGCAGCAGGAGAAGGGGAGGTGAGTGGGGCTGAACGGTTGGGCGATGGCTTCCCCTCCCTACAGCCTGGTTTGGGGGGTTCCTGGGGCTGCTGTGGCCGATCCTGCTGAGCGTGGGGAGAGCTGGGACCACCCTGAAGACTCTTATCACCTCCACAGCCCCTGGCCTAGCAGGTTTGCCCTTCCTAACTGCACTCCCTTGTCCTAGTGGATGTTGCCTGGGTTTCCCGACTCGAAAAACTGAAGGTTCAGGAGCTGCTACACAGTGCTGTGCTGCCCCTAGCAAAGTGCTGCTCCCTGCCCATGCCTGGCTTCGTGCTGGGGTAACAGGATGCTGCAGCACAGAAACCTTGGAGCAGCTCCTGCCCTGCCCGGGGCAATTCCTGCCCTGCAACGCACCCACACTAGGAGCTGGGCAGCCCCTGGGCACTCACAGCAGAGCAGACGGGGCGGAAGGACATGAGGCGCTCGATGTGGTAGGCATTGCTGCCGCTCCAGGCGTCCCAGCGCGGGTACTCGCCCCTCTCCAGGATGAACTGCTGCCCGCAGAAACCGGTGTGCTCATAACCAACCCAGCTGCAAAACAAAACAGAGCGAGGGCTGCCAGGGCTTCCCGCTGGGGCCACAGATGGAGGTGCAAGGAGGATTGGGGTCTGATATCTGCCCACCAGCACAGGTGCAGTGGAGGCAAGCCGTGTTGGACATGGGCAGAACCCCCAGAAAGGGTGTCACCGTGGCCGCCACCTGATGGACGCTCATCGTGGCAGTACAGGGACTGGGGATGAGACAGCCACAGCTGAGCTTAGCAGGGAGGCAGAGGCCGGGCTAGGGGCCAGGAGGAGGATGGCACACCGCTGTACATCCCACTTGTTCCCAGGGGGCATGTGAGATGCTGGGGGGTTTGAGAACTTCTCGCCTCCTTTGAGGACCGAAGTTCAGCCCTGGTCCCATCCCTGCAGTCAGCCTCCTAGTCAGCAAGGTGAGCAGCCTGAGTGGGAACACATCAGCTGGAGCAGTGAGCTGATTACTGCGTGAGCACACACGCTGTGGTAATCCCATTAGCATTACAAATCCTAAATATAGCAGTGCAAATCTATCTTGTCTGCTTCCCCAGCACCAGTGGGATGTTTGCCACCAGGATTGCTCCTTACACACGGCAGCTCCGAGCAGCTCGGGAGATGTCCTGCCTGGTACAGGGAGGATTCCTGAGTGCAGGGAAAAGCCTGGCTCTGCTCCACACCCTAACAGTGACTGGGGCAGCTCAGCACGGGCTGCAGGCAGACTCAGATCTGGCCTGGGGGAGCTGCATAGTGCTGGAAGAGCAAGGAGCAGGGCGCTGGGGTGAGAAATGGGGCTCTGAAGCAGTGCTTCGCAGGGTTACACGGATGAATGGGGAGCAGGCTGAGCTCACCAGCCAAGAGCTCTCTAAGCACTGATCCTCACTGTATTTTTAGGCAGCATCCATGCTGGATGCAACACAGCTGCAATCCTGGCTGCTCTCAGACTGCGGGTTTGGATGGTGCCAAAGGTATTGCTGCTGTTCTCTGGTCCTGTTTGCCCGGTGCCTGTGACACTGCCCAGAGCTGGCTGCCCTTCTCCGGCAGCGTGGGATCCCCATGCCTTGCTTCCCCCAGTTACAATGCTGTCTCCAGCTTAGTGGAGTAAACCCACCTGGCCCTGTTTGCACTTGGGCACCCTTCACCCCCTGCAAGCTCCCGAGCGAGGAAAGCGTATATGCCACCAGAACCAGGTACTCACGCGCCACATTCCACCTTTAGGGAGCGGATGTTGTCGAAACCACACTCCATGATGTTTGGACAGGCCGAGGTGAACTCCATCCTCTTGCCCTGGAAGTTTTCTTGGTCATACACAGTGATCTGGAACAGAGAAGGAGCTGCCCAGTCGGGAACAGCACAGCAGTGGTCCCAAGGGAGTTCAGCACCTCTTTGAGATGGGTTCATGCTCCATCCAGGGAGGAGTACCGAGCACTGTTCTGGGATGGGCTGGGCACATCCCTGGGCTGGTTTGCAGCCCCTGCACCTCGTGCATCCCTGCACTGCTGGCCCACACTCCCTGCTTGCTGTTGGGGAGCCGCACGCCAGCCCCGCTCTGCTCCTGCTCACCCCTAAGGTCAGTTCCTGGGGCAGCAGCACCGTCCGGAGAGAGGAGTGGAGCCCTTCTGGGACGGGCAGGTGGCAGGGCTGTGGCTGGCGGTTCTCCCGGCCTCTGCTCCGAACGCTCTAGGGCAAAGAGGATTAACGGGAAAAGGGCGAGGGGGGATTCCCTGGGGCTGTGGTTGATGCCATCCTTTCCGTGTTTCAGCAGGGTTTTACCCATTTATCTGTGATTTTCCTCTCCCTCTTCATTCCCTGCATCAACTGGCCATGTTGCCGGAGCTGCCACCAGCCCTGGCACCCTCAAGGCTGCTCTCCATACCCACTGCCACCTGCATAGCTCTCATGCCTGCTGGCCTGTGCCCAGCCTGCCTTCACCCTTAGGGGGTGGTAATGACAGCGCGTGGCTTTTGGAGACAGCTGCCCAATACAGCACCTCTGGTGTTGGCAGGGCACGGCCAGGCCAGACACTGCAAAGAGGACTGCCAGGAAGAACTGGCTTTGTCCTCCCCTGTTCCCCACCTCCCACCTGAGACACAGGGCGTGCGAGGACATACCTTCCATGGGCCCATGGGGACAGGCAGAGGGTTTGTCTGAGCCATCTTTGCTGCTGGAAAGGTGTCTGGAGAAGGAAGGAAAACCAATTGATGCTGCAGAGCATTCCCTTGATCGCTCCCAATGAGACCCTCACCAGCTGAAGAAGAGCCCAAGGGGCACAGCGGGGGGCTCCCTCCTCCCGCAGCCTGCCTTGTGCCCTGGGGGGTCCGCAAGACCCCCGCTCCCATCCCTGCCTTTCTTGTGCCTCCCTTGGGCACTCCTTCCTCAGGAGCATCGGGATGGCCGCGGCTCACAATCTGAGGTGCCAATAGCGTGCCATGCCACAGCTGGGTGCGGATCTGCCTCTCGCTACGGGGCTGTCCGCCACCCACTGTGCCAATGGGGACGTGTCACCCTCTGGGCACCTCTCCTATCACCGGGCAGAGGAAGGGCTGCACCAGGCAGCAGCGGGGTGAGCAGGGCTGGGATGGGGCAGGTCAGCCCCAGGACTCACCTAGCTCAGGCGGTACAGCTGCTTCGCCCATGTCATGTCTGCCTACTTCAGCGGCTCAGCTTTTATAGGGCGCTGCTGGCCCGGAGCCGGTGCCAGCGTTTGCAGAGCCGTCAGCACAATGCTCCCACTGGCATTGTCCTGCTGATCCCCGGAGATTTCAGCAGCTCATCCCCATGGTCCGAGCTACATTCTTGGGGGAAAAAAAAAAAATAAAAGGAAAAAAAAGAAAAAAAAAAAAAGATCATAACAAAAATAATCAGGGACGGCTGTTTGTACAGATAATCTTGGGCGCGAATGACTCAACAGTTTGACGCTTCTGGCATTTTCCAGGGGCAATGCAGCGCGCCGTCACGGGGCTGGCCTGGCCTGGGGGCAGGTGGGAAGCAGCGTGGCACCGTCTGGGGTCCCCTGCCCTGTGTGCTTGGGCAGCGAGGACAACATGGTGTGGTTGCATCCTCCAGCCCTCCTCACACCACAGGAGGGACGTGGGGCAATGGTGGGAGCTGCTGTGGGGCCTTCAGGTCCCCATGGCTCGCTCCCTGGGCCCACAGATGATGCCAGGCCTGTGGGGGTGCAGGGCCACCATGGGCCTCAGAGGCACTAGGCCTCACAGTAACCATGGCAACGAGGCCTACCTGGGTCTGAAGCCCACAGTAACCATGGCAATGAGGCCTACCTGGGTCTGAAGACCCATAGTAACCATAGCAACGAGGC